ATCAGCCTGGCTATGGGGTGGTTTTTTGGTCCTTAATAGAGATGTCTGAGAAGGAAATGGGGAAATTGATTGACACTCTGATGGTTGATCAGCAGTCAAAGCAGAGCAGCTAAGTTTTACTCCATGTTGGTGAGGAGGATGTAAGCTTGACTGCCTTTTACTCCATGGAAACAGCTTTCAACCACTCTGAAGGCTGAAGCATTGGCAGTGGGAGAGGGAAGATGTGAATGCCATGGAAACCTCTCTGCTTCACTGAGGAAGTGCAGTGGTGTTTCTTTTGATGTTACTCATAGGTGCTTGCAGTGGGTCATCCCATAGCAGCAACAAAAGATTTTTATTCCAGTTTTGGGAGAGGAATCTGGCCCTGAAGACTCACTTTTGTCTTTTCTTGTCTTCCCCCCACCCCTTGATGCAAAGTGACAAAAGTGACACACAGACTGAGCTCAGCTGTTTAGGACCAGAGCTAAGCTATGCCACAGTTAATAGAGGTCTAGCGTTGGGCATGTATTTTAGTGCATGTCCATTAGCAAAGGTTGGTTTCGTTTGCTGTAACTAATGGTATTTCTGAATCATCTTTTTTCAGGAACTGTAGTCCTTAAAAAGACAGGTTTTTTTCATGTCTACCATACATATATGCTGCAGTTTTGCTGGCATGAAACCAGGAAGGATGGCACACTCCATTTCCTGCTACCTCTAATCAGTCTGGAGCGCTTACACCACCACTTGCTTTAGCTTTGCTCAAAGAGTGTGACAATGATGTCTTTCTGGGGTGGTAACACATGGTGCACAATCAGTGCAGTTTAAGATGTAAAGGTGCAAAGTGAGGCCCGTGACAGCTTGAAGGATTGCGTGGGGCTCCATCAGTCAGACCCTATCTGAGAGCAAACAAAAAAATGTTGTTGACAGACGACTTTCATAAATGGCTTTGTTGAGTGTCGGCTTCGCTTTATAGCACATTGTCACATGCCAGTGCTGACACTTGTGGCATAATTTGCTGGCACAGAATGGCATGCTTGTCATGCTGGTATCTTTTTCTGCATTTCTTTTCCTAGTAAATTTCTGATGGTCGAAACTGGAGCCATGTTATTAGGTTTTGCCCGTGATGCACAGGTGAGAGGAGCTGTGCTGCATAGCGTGCACTGCCAGAACAGTGCCAACATCACAAGTAAAAACCAAACCAGGGTGAAACAAAATGAACACTTTAAACATACCCATATTTCTGTGCTGTGAGATGTTTTCTGTTGATGGACTTCTAATGTCCAAGTTCTTCCATAGCAGCACCTGTTATTCAAAGGGCAAAGGTTTGCTGCAGACATAGCAAAGTTAACAGTTACCATGGGCTAGGAGAGATTCTTCTTTTTAATCATTTAGTTCTCTTGGCCATTTTGCACGCTAGATGTTTGCCCAATGCCATGCCAACACAGCTAGGAAGTGAATTTGTCCTGCTAGTATCACCTGCAGGCTAGACAAGGATTGTAGTCACTACAATGTTAAACTGAGTTCACAAAGTTCCCTGAAAGGTTGTGGCATGTGTGCCTAAAGAAAGACACAAAAGGAACGTCACACATCAGGACTTTGACACTGAGAGAAGCAATGAAAACTCTGTAAGAACCTCAAAGCGGGAAAAATCTTGGTGGACTCCTCTTTTCCCTGCAGATTGGGAAGTGGCAGATGGATAATCAACAAAACCCACAGCACCTTCTTGAGATATAGCTTGGGAGAAAGCTTGCAAGGCACTTGAGTTAGTTTACAAAAAAAACCTGCATGAAGCCCTGTGTGGTACCTGTAAGCTGTTCATCTCCCTGGGCTATCCCAGGCATCTGGAGGGTGTTGGGACACCTGGAGCTGAGCAGCTCTCAACCAGGAGCTGGTGCAGGTGGACACTGTAGATCTGGGCTGTGCAGCCTCACTGGCTTTTGGACTATCCTGATGTCAGTGCGTTACACCATGAGCTGATTTTTGCAGCTTGCTTAGAGGTCAAGAAGTCACAGTATTAGGAAAGGTGTGTGGGAGGGTTTTCTCATGGTTTATGCCACCATATGTGGCTCACGGTTTGCCAGGGCTAAGCAGGCAGCAAGGAATGCCAGCACTTACAACACATGGCAGAAGATCTGCTCTGAGGTAGAGCAGAGCCTGGGTGTGAGCGGGATTAATTAGCTCTCATTACAGGCCAGGTCAATGAGTGTTGTTTGAAGGTGACTAGCTCAAACTCAGTGGACCAAAGGAGCACGTTATTTTGACATTTAGGCCTGAATGTGGCATTTCCAGGGACTCTTGCAATGATTTGGCCAAAGAAAAATTATCAAGGCAAAAGCCTAGCATGGGAAGTGATAAGTGAGACATGTAATGGAAAAATAAGCACATGGCAGGACTGGATCTGCTGTTGCCCATGGTTTTCTTGGGCCATAGGCAAAGGGTGTTCTGCACACATGGTCACAGCAATTTTTGATTGCTCATGCTGGACCCACTCTAGATGACATCAGTGACTTTGGCAAGTTGCCCATGGCTGGGCTTGTGGTACCAAGGCGTGCCATGGATGCTCTCTTCTGCAGTAGGTGCTGGAACTTTCCTCCAGGACGACAAGTGAGAAAGGCCATGGCTTAGTGCCTAAACCATGGCCTGTTTAGTGGCTCGGTTAGTTCAGAGACCTGCTGGCTCAACACATTGGTCTCGAGATTCCATTTCTTTGCATGTATGTCTTCCGTGAGTAAGCAGCCCTCTCATCTCTTAATTTGGGGTGCTCTCTAGTTTGTGAGGGAGCTGAAATGTAGGCAATGGATTGTATCAGATGGGGCTGGGTGTCTGTTCCCAAGCTGAACACATATTACTGACCTTGCCCCAGTGTTGTGGAACTGGAGGCTCTGAAGAGGTCAGGAGCAAGTCACTGTGACTCCACTGGCAGCCCCAGATAAAACTTGTTGGTGCTTGCTGCTGGCACGTGGGCATCAATGCCCTGTGTGTCCCTATAGCACGGAGCGGCTGCCTGCAGGTGCAGCATTAGGCAGCACAGCCATAGTAAGAGGCTCTTTATTTCAAGGTTTCAGCTTTTCAAAACACAAAAGGACATGCTTGAAATTCATTCCTTCACGCTGATCCTGGGAGTCTTCCATAACCTTGAAATTTGGCTTTCTCCTTAGCTTTCCCTGCTTGCTCTGTGCCTGTACGGAGCAGCTCACCGAGCCCTGCCGCACACCGGTGCCGGTGCGTGCCATGGGCTAGAGGTGCCCAGGTCAGCAGCCACTTCTCGGGGAGCATCACAGCCGGCCACAGCAGCTTCGCAGAGCATAGCCAGTGGACGGCTGAGGCATCGGCTGTGACAGCAAAGAAGCCTCAAGAATTAAGATCGTGTTTAGTATTTCATGTATGCCCATAACTTATGAATGACACAAACACTCCCACCCAGCTTGTAACAGCAAGGCTTTAGGCTGTTTCCCCGTTTATAATGAGCAGTTCTGACCCATTACCCCTCTCCAGGCCCTTGAGCATTTGCTTATTCATTTTGCTTTTCACCTCCCACAGCAGCTATAACCACAGCCTGAGCAGCAAAAACTTCAGTGCCTCAGCTGGGTCAGCGCCTGATTTTGTAACAGCAATGTGTCACCTCGATGACTTGCTGCTCCTGCCTGCAGGCCCTGGGTGCCGAAAGAGGTCAGAGATCCAAGTTAATGTGTGTGGGCAGAGAGAGGGCATCTGCTTGTATTGCCCCATTTCGGTACCACCCATGGGAGTGAGGGTGGGTGGTTCACTGCTGACCCCAAAACTAAAGGGAGAGAAAGCACCAGAGGGAGAGCCTTGCAAATCCCCACTAATGCCCTACTTGCTGCAGGTGGGCTCAATGCCAAGCATCTCTCACCCCATCACCCTCTTCCTTGCCTTTGCCCATCATCCACCTGTGAATTCGTTACCTCTGAAGCACTTTTCCAGCATCTGCAGACCTGGCACTCACAAGACACGTACCCATACCCAGGTTGCTGCAACATCTCGGGGGTTCTCATTCCATAATGGGCTTGGTGGCAGTAAGGCTTTGGATTAGAGGGTTTTGTAGTCTCGGCTTTAACCATGTGTGAAATGAGATGTGTGTGAAGCCTTAACACATGGGGAGAGTCCGGCTGCTAGATGGAACTGGCAGCATCTCCTTGCCCTGGCACAGCTGGACATCCACAACCACTCACACTCCCTTGCAGCTGCCCCCTCATCTGCACACCACACCTACTCCCTCCCCACATCCCTCTTCCCATCACTGAAATCCCTGCCACCTCCTCGCATGGCACACTCCTCATTTCCATCTGACAGCAAGGATTTCAGCAGCATTTCTTGCTCCATTTCATATTTTAAAACAAGCAGCCATCCCTCCTTCCCTTTATCTTCTAACTCGTCCCTAATAAATATGATTACTTTGTCCTGTGAGACCTGAAAACCCATTTCTGAAATTCCCCTGGCAACTAATACAGTAAAACAAGCCTATAAATACAAATAATTATGATAAAAAGGCATAAAATGCCAGACTCGGGTCAAACATACTCACACAGTGACACTAGCGACAAATAACTACAGAGTGTTTGAATGTAGATAGAAAAAGCTGAATACAGAGTAGCTAGTTTGTTGTCCATAACTGTCAGACTCCTAATTCGGACAGGCCATATTTTATTGATAGCAGAGCAAACACAGTCATAATCCATCCCTACCTTTCCTGCTTTGTGAAAAATCCCATCCATCCC